AATCATCATGCTGGATATTAAACCTGTGCATTAAAGTATTAAAGAAATGAGAACAGACAGATAAATGTCGGTATACCCAAAGAATAACATTTTGTCTGTATGTAGCACAATCCTGAGCTCAATTTCCCACTAGGATTCCTTTAATCTTTGCAGAAGTTCTAATTACATCAGTGAAACCTTCCAAAACCACATTCGAAAAGAAGAGAAAAAGCAGGTTATTTTGACAAATACCTCGCCTTATTTATTGATTACATTTGGGAACCGGCTGGGCTCTTTGACAAGAAGGATTGTGAGCGGTGTGCAATAAAAATATTGAAACATAAAAAACAGTATATATAAGTTTAATTTTTTTTTTTTTTAAAAAGAGGCAGGAATGATTAAAACACTGTTAACAATTAATCTTGCTATAAATGTAGCAAAAGACATCGCAAAACTGCATCGATCCACTGAGTAGGTTTTGAGTTTGGGTTGTGGACCTAAATAATTCAGGGCCCTGTCAATTTTTCAGTCCGTGAAAGAGGAAGGATCAAAACTATGATATGATTTCATTGACCTGCCCAAATCCAGCTTGAAGTTGACATTGTTGAAAACTGGGAAAAAAAAAAAAAAACCCAAACTGTATTCTGTGATCAAAATAGCTATAAAACCAGAGTATTCTCATTTGTTAAGAAAATAGATCTATAATTAGAGTGCTGGGTGGGATTCTTGCGTGATTTAGAAATAACAGAGATGGCTGTCTCATTAAAATAAAACGGAAGAGATTTATTCAAACCATTACACCATGGGCAAAATTGTAATTCAGCCATTGTAAGTTAACCACACACCTTCAGTAAAATTGGGAGATTTCTGTACAGCTATGCCGAAACAGTGGAAAACCACCAGGTTTGCCTATATTTTTTTTTCCATTTTTACAGAGTTTATGGAATTTTTTGAAGGGAAAGAAGTATAAGGAAGATTAATGACATGGTTTATATATATATATATATTTGTGTGTATATGTATATATACATATATATGTGTCTATCTATCTCTATCATCTATCTATCTATGTATATATATGTGTGTGTGCATGTATATAGATATGTGTGTATATATGTGTGTCACACACACACACACATATTAAGAATTGTTGATAATAAAAATTTCTTGAACGGAGGGAAGTGTAAACAAGATTAATGACTTGGTTTATATATATATTTGTGTGTGTGTGTGTGTGTGTGTATGTGTATGTATGTATGTATATATATATATATATATATATATATATATATATATATATATACACATACACACACACACGCACGTGTCTATCATCTATCTATATATCTATCTGTCTATCTATCTGTCTGTCTATCTATCTATCTCTATCATCTATCTATCTATATGTATGTATATATATGCATGTATATAGGTATGTGTGTATATATATGTGTCACACACACACACATATTAAGAATTGTTGATAATAAAAATTTCTTGAACGGAGGGAAGTGTAAACAAGATTAATGACTTGGTTTATATATATATTTGTGTGTGTGTGTGTGTATGTATGTGTATGTATGTATGTATATATATATATATATATATATATATATATATATATATACACATACACACACACACGCACGTGCCTATCATCTATCTATATATCTGTCTATCTGTCTGTCTATCTATCTATCTCTATCATCTATCTATCTATATGTATGTATATATATGCATGTATATAGGTATGTGTGTATATATGTGTGTCACACACACACACATATTAAGAATTGTTGATAATAAAAATTTCTTGAATGGAGGGAAGTGTAAACAAGATTAATGACTTGGTTTATATATGTGTGTGTGTGTGTATATATACATACACACACACACATATATGTGTCTATCATCTATATCTATCTATATATCTATCTGTCTATCTATCTCTATCATCTATCTATCTATATGTATATATGGAGAGAGAGAGAGAGAGAGAGAGAGAGAATTGTTGATAAGAAATTTGGCATCTGAATATACCTCTTCCCTATTTGTTTCTGAAACATTTGGTACAAGGTTAGATTTAACCCATCTGAGCAACCTTAGATGGGTTGAATCTGATAAGCCAATAACTTACCACCACTTGGCCAACATCTAAGCTGCCCAAATAGATCTGAACAAATGCATTTAAGGGCACGTTCCTTGCATTTGGCTGTCAGTGGCCGGCCTCTCTCACCTTTTGCTCAAAATAAACAGGGGCCCTCCTGCTCATTTGCTTAACACCATTTGTGAGATTTGCTGAGGATCTCATGTGTCAATTTTAACATCCAGGACTTTCACCCAAGTAACATCTGCTGATCAAATGGCTTAAGGATCCTTTTCAGCCATCCTTTGCCTTACATTCACGTTTTGCTGAATTGAGAACGTTTTTGTTATGGGCATCATGGTTTTAAACAGGTTCCACCCTCAACGACATATTTCCCAAGGATGTGACCTAGTGATTTCCATGTAGGCAGCGGTTGTTTTTGAAGCTGTTGTGTTGATGATCAGTTAACAGCATACAAGACCTTTTTAAGCATGTAAGGCTGTGCTTGACCTGATGACAGACCTCAAAAGTGTTGGGAGTTTTGCTGTTTTCGCCTTTAGCATAGCTGCAAACAAACCAGCTTTGCTTTCTTTATTAGCCACCGTTTCTAGTCACATCTGAATTCACACCTGCAGTTTAATAGAAGAAGAGGAAGAAAGAAGAAGAAGAAGAAGAAGAAGAAGAAGAAGAAGAAGAAGAAGAAGAAGAAGAGAAAATGGAAAGTAACTTGAAACCATCTACCTCCATAGCTGGTGGCTTAAATTCAAACCCAGTAGCTCAGATTAAGCATAGCACATTGGCTTCAGATCGACAAGTCAGAGGGAATTCAAACAGAAGCGACATGATCCTGAATTGTAAACCAATCAATCTTAGCTCATGACTGAAAATCTGCAGTAGCACCACTGCAGAATAGTTAAACGGGCCGAGATTCGCAGAGATATGTCCATTTGATCAACACAAAGGGATCTAGAATGAAAACAATTGAGCTTCATTGTTGCTGCAAACCACAGTCTTTTTTGCTTTCCCTTATTATCTTTGGCCTTCAATTTCTTTTCCACTAATGACTTATTATCTGGGTCTTTTTTTTTTTTTTTCATAGCGACGTTTAGCCTGGAAAAGAACAGAATATGTGTGTAGGTGCTGTCATTCATTGTTACGCGATATTGAAGTTTCCGTATCTGCCTGTAGGATGGATACCAAGAACTCTTAAGTCTTCACTGACATCCCGTGGCTGTTTTAAGCGATTGCAGTCTTAGATACTGTGTAGCTGTAGGGTGGGATTGCTATTCCGAACTAAATCAGTTTCGTGACAGGCTGAATGAGATTGTTATGATGATGAAAAGGACAGACCGGCTAAATTGGAATTTAAATCACTGCCACCTTGTAGAGTCTGCGCAATAAATTTGAGCTGCCCCTTTGTCATCAGGCGAGCCCACTTGGGAAGCGTGTGAGAAGTGGTTCTTTGAGTGGACAATGATGTATTCCAGAGGAACACATTAGGCATGATCTGAAAGGTACCTTAGAGGTCAACTAGTCTAACTCCCTGTCCAGGGCAGAAACGGAGAATAATTCCAAGAGGACAAATCGGAATGATCTTTTAAATAGATCTGTTGTTCTACCTAACCATTGGACAGATCTTTGAAGTATAGACCTCAGAGACCCCCGATATTCTCCCAGTTGGCATTGGCCACAATTCTGTGTCATTTAACTGGGGAAAAAAAAATCATCCCACGGGAATAACTTGCACAATAATACTAAATCAGACTAACAGCATGATTTACAGAGCACCCTGTGCCCAATCTTAAGACCCCAAGGACCCCATGCAAATGACTATCAATGATATGTTTTAAACCTTCAGGAGTGTGTGTGTTAGACTAGAAGACCTCCCAGGTCCCTTCCAACTTCTATTCTATTCTATTCTATTCTATTCTATTCTATTCTATTCTATTCTATTCTATTCATTCTGAATTCTATTCTATTCTGAATTCTATTCTATTCTATTCATTCTGTATTCTTTTCTATTAATTCTGAATTCTATTCTATTCTATTCCATTCCATTCCATTCCACTCTGTTCCACTCTACTCTCCTTCTCTTCTCTTCCCATTCACTCTATTCTATTCCACTCTACTCTACTCTAATTCTCCTTCTCTCTCTTCTCTTCCCTTCCACTCCACTCTATTCTATTCCACTCTACTCTAGTCTTTTCTCCTTCTCTTCTCTTTTCTCTTCTCTTCCCTTCCACTCCACTCTATTCTATTCCACTCTACTCTAGTCTTTTCTCCTTCTCTTCTCTTTTCTCTTCTCTTCCCTTCCACTCCACTCTATTCTATTCCACTCTACTCTACTCTCCTTCTCTTCTCTTCCCTTCCCTTCCACTCCACTCCACTCTATTCTACTCTACTCTCTTCTCTTCCCTTCCACTCCACTCTATTCTATTCCACTCTACTCTCCTTCTCTTCTCTCTTCCACTCCACTCTATTCCACTCTACTCTCTTCTCTTCTCTTCCCTTCCCCTCCACTCTATTCTATTCCACTCTACTCTCTTCTCTTCCCTCCCACTCCACTCTATTCTACTCTACTCTCTTCCCTCCCACTCCACTCTATTCTACTCTACTCTCTTCCCTTCCCCTCCACTCTATTCTATTCCACTCTACTCTCTTCTCTTCCCTTCCACTCCATTCCACTCCCCTTCACTATCCACTCCACCCTATCCTATCCTATCCTATCCTATCCTATCCTATCCTATTCTCCTTTTCCTATTCTTATTCCTATTCCTGCCTCATGGGCCGCATCAGCCCTGATGTTCTGTTCCTCTGAAGGTGGCCCAGAAGAACAAACACCATCAGAGTTTATCAGGAGAGGGGCAGCCTGGCTTATTTGCATATGGAGGACCGGAGGGGGCTCATTTGCATACTGGGGACCATATGATCCCAGGGAAGAGGGGAACAGCTCGCTAGATAGGATCAGCAGCAGACACCAAGGCCAGTTGTTCAGGATCGGTGGAGAAAAAGCAGAGGAGCAGATTAAGCCTTCCCCCCCCTCCACCCCTGGGCCAACATCTGGAAAGGAACCATGGCCAGGCTCTCGATTCTTCCCCTGGTCTTCCTCCAGGCTTTCTTTCTCCGCGGGGCTGAGAGCCAGATTCGGTTCAGCGTGGACGAGGAGGCTCCCCCAAGCACCGTGCTGGGCACTTTGGCCGAGGAACCGCAACGGGCCGCTTCCGCCCTGGAGGCTGCGGCCCGCGGCTTCCGGCTGGTGAAGGCGCCGGGCAACGGGTCCCTGGTGCGGGTGCGCGAGCGGGACGGGCAGCTCAGCCTGGGCTCGGAGCGGCTGGACCGGGAGCAGCTGTGCGGCGACGGCGGCGGGGGGCCGGCGGAGGCGCCCTGCCTGCTGGCCTTCGACGTGCTGAGCCTGGGCGGTCCGGCGGGGGCCCCGGCGCCCTCCCGCCTGCTGCACGTGGAGCTGGAGGTGCGGGACCTCAACGACCACGCGCCACGCTTCCCGCAGCCGCTGGTGGCCCTGGAGGTGTCGGAGAGCGCGGCGCCCGGCACCCGCCTGCCGCTGCCCCTGGCGCACGACCCGGACGCCGGCTCCAACGGGCTGCAGAGCTTCGCCCTCTCGCCCGGCAGCCCCTTCGGCCTGGAGGCGCGGAGCCGGGCCGACGGGCTGCGCTGCGCCGAGCTGGTGCTGCTGCGCGGGCTGGACCGGGAGGCGCAGGCGGGCTACCGGCTGGAGCTGGTGGCGGCCGACGGCGGGAGCCCGCCGCGCTCGGGCACGGCCACGCTCAGCGTGCGCGTGCTGGACGCCAACGACAACGCGCCCGCCTTCCCCCGGGGCGCGCTCCTGACCCTGGAGCTGCCCGAGGACGCGCCGCCGGGCGCGCCGCTGCTGGAGCTGGCCGCGGCCGACGCCGACGAGGGCGCCAACGGGCAGCTGCTCTACGCCTGGGGCAGCCAGGTGGGCGCCGAGGCGCGCCGCCTCTTCAGCCTCGACCCGCTCTCCGGCCGGCTGGCCCTGCGCGCCCCCGTCGACCACGAGCGGCAGCGCGCCTACGAGCTGGACGTGCAGGTCAGCGACCGCGGCGCCAGCCCGCTCTCCGCCAGCTGCAAGGTGCTGGTCCGCCTGCTGGACGTCAACGACAACGCGCCCGAGGTGGCCATCAGCGCCCTGGCGTCCGGCGGTGGCGGCGGTGGCAACGGCGGCGCGGAGCAGGCGGCGCGGGCCGGGCCGGCGGTGGCGTCGGTGAGCGAGGCGGCGGCCGCGCAGAGCCTGGTGGCGCTGGTCAGCACCTCGGACAGCGACGCGGGGGCCAACGGCCAGGTGCGCTGCGCCCTGCTGGCCGCGCCCCACCAGCCCTTCGCCCTGCAGCGCGCCTACGACGCTGCCAGCTACCTGGTGCTGACCACCGGGCCCCTGGACCGCGAGCGGGTGGCCGAGTACAACCTCACACTGGTCGCCGAGGACCTGGGCTCGCCCCCGGCCAAGACGGTGCGCTCGCTCACGGTGCGGGTGGCCGACGAGAACGACAACGCCCCGCGCTTCTCTGAGGCCCGCTACGAGGTGGCCCTGCCGGAGAACAACCCCCCGGGGGCCTACCTGACCACCGTGGAGGCTTCTGACCCCGACTTGGGACCCAACGGACAGGTGACCTACCGGCTGTTGGGAACGTCCGCCCCGTCGAACCTGTTCTGGGTGGATCCCCACCTGGGCGTCGTGCGAGCTCTGTGCTCCCTGGACCGTGAGGACCAGGCGGAAGAAGAAGAAGCGTCGTCGTGGCACGAAGTGGTGGTGGAAGCTTGCGACAGTGGGAGCCCATCGCTGTGCGGACGCACCCTGGTTGTTATCGTGGTGGAGGATCAGAATGACAACCCACCCCAACTCGTCTACCCGCCTTTGGTCAACGGCTTGGCAGATCTCCCGTTGCCTCTCGGTGCCCCACCCGGGTTCTTGATCGCTCAACTGGCAGCCCGGGATGCCGACGATGGTCGTAACTCCGAGCTGTCTTTCTCCCTCCTGGAGGGTCCTCCCAGGCTCTTCGCGGTGCACCCTCTGACCGGAGAGCTCTTTCTGCGGGAACGGGTGCCCCACGAGGCCACGCTGGGCTCTACTTTCCACGTGGTCGTTGCCGTCAAGGATGGTGGCCAGCCTGCTCTGACTTGCTCTGCCACCTTACGTCTGATTTGCACGGAGACGCTGCCCTCTAGCAGGCCAATGGTGGCGTTGCAGTTTGGCGTTGCTGGAGAAGAGCCGTGGGACGCATCGGTGCTGTGGATCGCCCTGCTAGGTGGCGGGTGTGGGGTTTTGCTGGTAGCCATACTCCTCGTGGGAGCCTCCATTTGGGCAGGCAGGAAGAAGTTCCCACTTGGGAAGGCATCCAAGACTGTGGGACGCAGAAGAGGAGGAGGAAGTAATCCTGTCTCTCAACGCGGGAACGGGATCTCCAAAGATACTGCTGGGAGTGGTGCCTTCTCACGAGCTGAAGAAGGGAGCGGGGACTCTTTGGGGGTGATTGAGACCGAAACACCCACCTGTGACTCTCAGGTATCTTCTCAACTACGGTTAGATCCGGACCCCGTTTGGCTGCTGAGATTCACCTCTTATATTTAACAGTTCTAATGGGGTGCAAGTGTGGGATTTAGTCTCTTCCCTTAGAAATGAGGCCTCCAGCCTAGAATGAACCTTGGAATGAATTTTTATTTTAGAAAAGAATGGAAGAATAGAATAGAAAATAAAATAAAATAAAATAAAATGGAATAAGAATAGAATTGAACAGAAAATAGAACAGAATAGAATAAGAATAGAATGGAAATAATAGAATAGAATAAAGAATAGAACAGAACAGAAAATAGAATAGAATAAAAATAGAAAATAGAATAGAATTGAATAAAATAGAATAGAATTGAACAGAAAATAGAACAGAATAGAATATAGAATAGAATAGAATAGAATAGAAAATAGAATAGGATAAGAATAGAATAGAAAGAATAGAATAGAATAAAGAATAGAACAGAATAGAAAGTAGAATAGAATAAGAATAGAATTGAACAGATATACAAAGAATAGAATAGAATAAAGAATAGAACAGAATAGAAAGTAGAATAGAATAAGAATAGAATTGAACAGATATAGAAAGAATAAAATATAATAAAGAATAGAACAGAACAGAAAATAGAATAGAATAAGAATAGAATTGAACAGAAAATAGAACAGAATAGAATATAGAATAGAATAGAAAATAGAATAGGATAAGAATAGAATAGAAAGAATAGAATAGAATAAAGAATAGAACAGAACAGAAAATAGAATAGAATAGAATAGAACAGAACAGAAAATAGAATAGAATAGAATAGAATAGAATAGAATAGAGCTGGAAGGGACCTTGGAGGTCTTCTAGTCCACGCCCTGCTCAAGAATGAGAACCTATACTGTCTCAGACAGGTGACTGTTCAGTCTCTTCTTAAAATCCTCCAGTGTTGGAGCATTCACAGCTTCTGGTGGCAAGCTGTTCCACTGGTTAATTGTCCTCACTTTTAAGAAGTTTCTCCTTAATTCCAGGTTGCTGAGAAGTTTTACAAGCTGGGCCCTTTTTTTTCATTTCACAAAAATTTAAACTTTCTACCGCTCTTTTAACTGCACAATTAATAGTCTTTCACGTTGATGGATTTAGCTGTTAGGAGACAAACCTCCCTTCTATCCCAAACTGAAACACATGTTCATCTGATCTCTAAGCCCTACAAATTAACCCTGCACAGAAGGACTTTTTTTTTTCCCCCCTGTGGATTAAGTCACTTTGAAATCCCTCCAGCTCTAAAGTCATATTCTGTTCTACAAACGCCCAAATATATGGCAAAAGAGAAGATATAAACCAATTAAAGTATGATTTTCTTTTTAAATAGAAGAAAGTAGAAAAAGAAACAAATATCTCTGCTCAAATCCATTATCTGGCGCTCTGGGAAGTGTACTTGAACACTTGCTTATTTTATAAAACACCAATCGCCAACGGTATGGATTTTCTTTGTGGGAGGGCTTGGAAGTAGTACATTTAATTAAAAAAATATAGATTTAGCATGAACTCAAGCTGAGACCTGTGGCCTTTCCAAAGAAGGCAAAAGGAGGTGGGAATTGAAGCAAGGAGCAAATGTTCAAGTCTACCCCTCTGATTTTCGTCTAAAGTATTATTGTGTGTTATTTTCTTTAGCACTGGAGAAATAAACTTTCTTTCTTTGTTTCTCTTTGATAGGCTCAGATTCTAATTCCTGTTGAGGCTGCATCTGAATGGGAGGCAAGTCAACCAGCTTCCAATTTTAGGTAAACATAACATATGATGCCAGTCCTGTTCTTTTGACTTCTCTCTGTTTTGCATCGTTTTCTCCTGTGTTGGTAAAATGGTAGATATGTTATATCAAGGGTTGCAAGGTTTATTTGCTTGTTGTAAACTGGGAGATGACCTGGGGCAGCGGTTCTCAACCTGTGGGTCGCGACCCCATTTGGGGTCGAACGACCATTTTACGGGGGTCGCCAAACAACGTGATCCGCCATTTTTTTCTCAGCTGGCGGCACCGCGCATGCGTGCCGCGCATGGGGGTGGCGCTGCGTATGCGCACCGCGCATGGGGATGCCATCTGCGCATGTGCGCCGTGCATGGGGGCGCCGCCGCGCATGCACGTCATGCGTGGGGGCACCGCCACGCATGCATGCCGCGCATGCGCGGCGCGTCCTTATGACCGGGGTCGCCGTATAAAAAGGTTGAGAACCACTGATCTGGGAGAAGGACATACTGCCGTGGTGGCATAGTGGTGAGAATACAGTATTGCAGGCTAACTCTGCCCAGTCTGGAGTTCGATTCTGACAGGACTCAAGGTTGACTCAGCCATCCATCCTTCCGAGGTCGGTAAAATGAGGACCCATATTGTTGGGGGGCAATAGGCTGATTTTGTAAACTGCTTAGAGAGGACTGTAAAGCACTGCGAAGCGGTATATAAGTTTAAGTGCTATTGCTATTATAAAAACATTCCCACTGCCAGCAGTTTGATCCTGACCGACTCAAGGTTGACTCAGCCTTCCATCTTTCAGACATCGAAAAAATGAGGAGCCATACTGTTGGGGGCAAATATGCTAACTCTGTAAACCACTTAAAGAGGGCTGTAAAGCACTGTGAAGCGGTATATAAGTGCTATTGCTGTTCTATTCTATTCTATTCTATTCTATTCTATTCTACTCTACTCTACTCTACTCTACTCTACTCCACTCCACTCCACTCCACTCCACTCCACTCCACTCCACTCCATTCCATTCTATTTTCTATTCTATTCTATTCTATTCTATTCTATTCTATTCTATTCTATTCTATTCTATTCTATTCTATTCTATTCTATTCTACTCTACTCTACTCTACTCTACTCTACTCTACTCTACTACTACTCTACTCTACTCTACTCTACTCTACTCTACTCTACTCCACTCCACTCCACTCCATTCTCCCTTCCCTTCCCTTCCCTTCTTCTTCTTCCCTTCTATTCTATTCTATTCTATTCTATTCTATTCTATTCTATTCTATTCTATTCTATTCTATATTCTATTCTACTACTCTACTCTACTCTACTCTACTCTACTCTACTCTACTCTACTCTACTCTACTCTACTCTACTCTACTCTACTCTACTCTACTCCACTCCACTCCACTCCACTCCACTTCTTCTTCCCTTCCCTTCCCTTCCCTTCCCTTCCCTTCCCTTCCCTTCCCTTCCATTCTATTTTCTATTCTATTCTATTCTATTCTATTCTATTCTATTCTATTCTATTCTATTCTATTCTATTCTATTCTATCTTCTACTCTACTCTACTCTACTCTACTCTACTCTACTCTACTCTACTCTACTCTACTCTACTCTACTCTATTCTATTCTATTCTATTCTATTCTATTCTATTCTATTCTATTCTTACTCCACTCTACACAATTCGTATTCTATTCTACTCTATTCTATTATATTCTACTCTATTATATTCTACTCTACTGCAGAGAAACAAGAAAAGCTTAACTTTCTACCATTTGGGGGTTTCTTCATTCTTAACTGCTGACTAATACGTTTTTCCTTGCAAGGTTCAAAATAGGTTCAAAATAGTTAAATAACAATTTTAAATCAGGTAAGACTGAGGTCCAGTGAGTTTAATGAAGCAAAGGAGCTAAACAGTGATGATTAAAGTGCTAAACATATCAAATTCCTACAATCGTCCTCCAGCCCCCTAATCATCCTTGTTGCTCTTCTCTGCACCCTTTCTGGAGGCTCAACATCTTTTTTATATGGTGGCGACCAAAACTAAAGGCAATTAGATTACTCAGAATTATGTGCATACTTAAGTCTGACTCTATTCCGTGCAATTCCTCCAGGTGGTTAGATTATTACAATTCCGTAGAACACCTCTGCCAAACTAGTTTAGTTTAGTATTTCATTTCCAATGAACAAGTTTTAATTAACTTCTTCTGTTCCTGGCACATGGAATTGTTTGCATCAGGAACAAGGAATCGGATGCTTTCCAGCATCACATCTATGGAGGTGGTAAGCAAGCAGACCACTGGTGAAACAAGGTTTGTCCTGTGATATCACAACATCCTTCCATTCCTTTATATATCTGTCACGTGTTGAGACACTCCTGTCATTATTCTGATGAATTGTCGGCTTCTTCAGATACTTGTATGTACGTACGACTTGGGTTTCATCTCACGTCCTCATGATCAAGAAGTCAAGTTGGGAATCTAAGTCATCTGGAGGACACCCACGCCACTTACTTCTGCTTTAGACTTTTGATCCCTGAAAATGTAACCATGTTGTGTTGGCTGGAAAAGAAGCTGACCTTTCCGTCTGTCTTCCCTGTGCTGTAGTTATTCGGGTCTGGATCACGTGAGCGCACAGGATAGTGGGAAAGGAGACAACGAATGCAACGACAGCGACTTCAATACTTGCAGTGATGGAACAAAACAGACCTCCCTAGAAAACGTCGGGAAACAGAATGGTAAGTTGAACACCTGCGAATCGTGGTTTGTGATGCATTTAAATATCAGCCAGCAGTGTGCGGATGCAGCTAAAAAAACCAATGCCATCCTAGGTTGCATTAATAGAGAGACAGAATCAGGAACACCTACTAGTACCCACTCTGCAAAGCCCTGGTAAAGCCACACTTAGAATACTGCATCCAATTTTGGTCGCCACAATACAAAAAACGATGTTGAGACTTTGGAAAAAATTCAGAAGAGAGCAACAAAATTGTTTAGGGGCCTAGAAACTAAAACGTACAAACAATGGTTGCAGGAACTGGGTATAGATAGTCTAGAGAAAAGGAGGGCTAGGGGAGACATGATAGCAGTGTTCCAGTATCTCAGGAGCTGCCCCAAAGAAGAGGGAGTCAAGCTATTCTCCAAAGTACCTGAAGGCCGGACAAGAAGCAACGGATGGAAACTAGTCAAGGAGAGAAGCAACTTAGAACTAAGGAGAAACTTCCTGACAATCAGAACAATTAACCAGTGGAATAAATTTCCTTTGGAAATTGTGGGTGCTCCAACAAGGGAGGCTTTTAAGAAGAGACAGGACAGCCATCGATCAGAAATAGTATAGGTCTCCTGCAAGAGCAGTGGGTTGGACTAAATGACCTCCAAGGTCCCTCTTTTACTGTTGCTGATCTTGGGTCCCACAATTTAGATATCTCTCTTTGGGTTACGACAGATGTAGTTTTGCGTAAGACAGGAACAGTTCTTGGGGCACGATCACTATAAAATAGAAACGCTGGAAAAAAAGATCATGGGAATAGCAGCTCAGGTGAACTTGGAGTCCCTTGTGTTGGTTACACAAATGCGATGTTTCTTTGCTATAGAATTCATAGCAAAAGGCAGTTATTTTCCCAGCTGATTAACTAGCTGATATTAGAACATTGCTTTTTAATTAGGAGCCACCACTTCTGCTGAGAGAACAACCTGCAAAGAATCAGACATCTACAATGGTCCGCATGCCCACCTATCTTTGGGGAGGAAACATCTACCATCTTACCAGGAACGTGCAGGTCTTCTCTCCTGTCCCACAGCCCTGATTAATAGACCTCTTATCCAGCTGAGAAACACTCATTGTCATCCCGAGTTCCTCCCCCAAAGTCAAGACTATCTTCCAGTTCGGCATGAAAGACTATCCCAAGTTCTGTGAACAGCGGGACAATCCGGAGGGTGAATTCCCAGGAACGCCAAGAATTAAGCAGTTCTCCTCAAAAGACCTCAAGAGATAGCAACGTCCTTTTGACACAACAAGATGAACGTTTACAGCCATTCTGTGCAGTTTGGGACCAAATTCCCCTTCCGCATCCCAGATGTTGGCGAAGACAATCTGGCCGATTGTGAAATACGATGCGTAAGGCATGTGGATTCAGAGGGAGAATTGTGTAACATCTAAAACAATGTATGTATGTGTTCGTATGGGCGTACCAACCACGGTGATCACGTTATTATTTTTAAGGACGGTGAAGGAAGATGTGTACCCATCAACTATTTTAAAAATGGAGGGGGGGGGGGAAGTGACTTATACTGCAGATATGTGGTTTGTTTCTTAAGGATTTTAAATCTCTTTCTTTGTAAATATAACCGAACCATCTTAGCTGCTGAAAATGTAACTTAAGGCAATTTAAAAAAAAAAAAGTAGTCAATATCTGTGGAGATTCTCAAGTCATCCAGGTCATGGTTGTCCCAAAGGTGCTTTTTTTTTTTTTCACGAGGCAACTGGACTTCTTTGTTTTTCTTTGAAGGCGTTTCGCTTCTCCTCGAAGAAGCTTCTTCAGTTCTGACTGAATGTCTAAATCCTTCCATTCCCCCACCATCCAGTCAGAGCTGATGAAGCTTCTTGGTTGAGAAACGAAACGTCTTCAAAGCAAAACAAGAAAGGTCCAGTTGCCTCACGAAAAATCATCTTTGGGATAATTGTTCAATAGAATATAGGGGTTTGGGGACAAACAGCTTTGGGCTTGAACTGAATATTATGGAATGCAATATCAACAATTCATATTTTAGCAACTTCACACTTGTTGGCCTCTCACAGTCTTACTAACAGTCACTTGTCTGAGATAGTATAGGTTCTCCTGCTCGAACAGGGGGCTGGACTAGAAGACCACCAAGGGCCCTTCCAGCTCCTATTCTATTCTATTCTATTCTATTCTATTCTATTCTATTCTATTCTATTCTATTCTATTCTATTCCATTCTATTCTATTCTATTCTATTCTTATTCCTATTCCTATTCCACTCCACTCCATTCCATATTTTCTATTCTATTCTATTCTATTCTATTCTATTCTATTCTATTCTATTCTATTCTATTCTATTCTATTCTATTCTATTCTATTCTATTCTATTCTATTCTATTCTATTCTATTCTTTCTGAATTCTATTCTATTCTATTCTATTCCTATTCCTATTCCTATTCCACTCCACTCCACTCCACTCCATTCCATTCCATATTTTCTATTCTATTCTATTCTATTCTGTTCTGTTCTGTTCTGTTCTGTTCTGTTCTATTCTATTTCTGTTCCATTCCACTCCACTCCACTCCATTCCATTCCATTCCATTCCATTCCATTCCATTCCATTCCATTCCATATATTCTATTCTATTCTATTCTATTCTATTCTATTCTATTCTATTCTATTCTATTCTATTCTATTCTATTCTATTCTATTCTATTCTATTCTATTCTATTCTATTCTATTCTACTCCACTCCACTCCACTCCATTCCATATTTTCTATTCTATTCTATTCTATTCTATTCTATTCTATTCTATTCTATTCTATTCTATTCTATTCTATTCTATTCTATTCCACTCCACTCCACTCCACTCCACTCCATATTTTCTATTCTATTCTATTCTATTCTATTCTATTCTATTCTATTCTATTCTATTCTATTCTATTCTATTCTATTCTATTCTCGCTACAGAACTTAGATGGAAAATTCTAGACAGCCGCTAGATGATACCAAACAAATATGCCTCTATTGCCATCTAGTGGTCCACAGTAGAATGGCAGCCCAAATTAGGAAAGCTTTGATGTTTCCTCAATTTTAATTTTAAGAACATACTGATGGAAAGCAAGGAGTTGCAGACTGTGTATTCCAGAGTACAGACCCAAATTAATACAAGCATTCTTCCAGAAATTTGTTTTTTGCACATACAGGTATTTCTCGGCTTACAACAGTTCTTTTAGTGACCATTTCAAGTTACAACAACACTGAAAAAACTGACCTATGACCAATTTTCACACTTAGTATCCCCCTGGTCACATGATCCAATTTGCACACTTGGCAACCGGTTCATAGTTATGTCCGTTGGCTGTTTGCCCAGGTCACGTGATCCTCTTTTGCGACCTGATTAGCAAAACCTGCCAGATTTACTTAACAACCGTGTTACTAATGTACAGTAGTGGCCAAAAGTGTGGAAACCTTTTGGGAAAAATGTACAGTAGAAATGCCAACTTTGGTTAAGTTTCCAGTAATTTTTCTTCCAATTTCTTTATAACTGTAGCCTTGTTCACTTAATAATTACTATTTTACATCGCTTTCTGGGTGACCAGTCAACTCTTTGCACCACTACTTTAATTTTATTGCATTTTACAAGCTCACTAAGTGAAAGAACACAAAAAACCCCAACCAACTTGATAGCGATCACATAACACACCGACAAATGTCCTCCTCTCAGCTTCAATCCATGAGATCAATAACCGGATCCTACTGTGATCTGATTGGCTCATGGCCAAAACAAGATGACACCTGACTGGCTCTATAAACACTCACGCTCATTGGCTACAATCAGATGGAGGAAAACTACCTGAGATCAACCTAAGCAAGTGGTGCTTCTTTTTTCTGCTTATCTGGCTATCACTTTTCATAGAATACAGTACAGATAATTGAACAAACTTTGTTGCATTACATTCTCGATTAAATTATCTTTCCATTGATATATAATTTTATGGTACTACTCCAAAAAAAAAAGTGGTGTCATTAGCCATCAAACCTCAAAAATACACTTTTCCCAAAAGGTTCCCACAATTTTGGCCACTACTGTAGCAATGGCAGTGATGCACTCAAGAACTCCTGGCAAGAAAAGTCACAACAGGATGCAAAACTCCCTTAACAAGTTTTGCATAGCAATGGAAATGTTGGGGGTCAATTGTGATCATAAGTCGGAGGACTACCTGAATTTTGGAGATCTTTCTCTCTCTCCCTCCATCTCCCTCTCTCCCTCTCTCCTTCCCACTCCCTCTCCCTCTCTCTCCTTCCCTCTCTCCCTCTCCCTTCTCCCTCTCCCTCTCCCTCTCTCCTCTACCTCTTCCTCTCTCCCTCTCTCCCTCCCTCTCTCCCTCCCACTCCCTCTCCCTCTCTCTCCTACCCTCTCCCTCTCTCCCTCTCCCTCTCCTCTCCCTCTCTCCCTCCCTCTCTCCTTCTCTCCCTCCCACTCTCCCTCTCCTTCCCTCTCTCCCTCTCCCTCTCTCCCTCTCCCTTCTCCCTCTCCCTCTCTCTCTCCCTCTTCCTCTCTCCCTCTCTCTCCCTCCCTCTCTCCCTCTCTCCTTCCCACTCCCTCTCCCTCTCTCTCCTTCCCTCTCTCCTCTCCTTCTTCTCCCTCTCCCTCCTCCATCTCCCTCTCTCCTCTACCTCTTCCTCTCTCCCTCTCTCCCTCCCTCTCTCCCTCCCACTCCCTCTCCCTCTCTCTCCTACCCTCTCTCCTCTCTCCCTCTCCTCTCCCTCTCCCCTCCCTCTCTCCTTCTCTCCCTCCCACTCTCCCCTCTCCCCTCTCTCCCTCTCCCTCTCTCCCTCTTCCCTCTCCCCTCTCCCTCTCTCCCTCTCTTTCCTCTCTCCCTCTCTCTCCCTCCACTCTCTCCTCCTTCCTCCATCTCCCTCTCTCCTCCCTCTCTCCTCTCCCACTCCTCTCTCCCTCTCTCTCCTTCCCTCTCTCCCTCTCCCTTCTCCCTCTCCCTCTCCCTCTCTCCTCTACCTCTTCCTCTCTCCCTCTCTCCCTCCTCTCTCCCTCCCACTCCCTCTCCCTCTCTCTCCTACCCTCTCCCTCTCTCCCTCTCCCTCTCCTCTCCCTCTCTCCCTCCCTCTCTCCTTCTCTCCCTCCCACTCTCCCTCTCCTTCCCTCTCTCCCTCTCCCTCTCTCCCTCTCCCTTCTCCCTCTCCCTCTCTCTCTCCCTCTTCCTCTCTCCCTCTCTCTCCCTCCCTCTCTCCCTCTCTCCTTCCCACTCCCTCTCCCTCTCTCTCCTTCCCTCTCTCCCTCTCCCTTCTCCCTCTCCCTCCCCATCTCCATCTCCCTCTCTCCTCTACCTCTTCCTCTCTCCCTCTCTCCCTCCCTCTCTCCCTCCCACTCCCTCTCCCTCTCTCTCCTACCCTCTCCCTCTCTCCCTCTCCCTCTCCTCTCCCTCTCTCCCTCCCTCTCTCCTTCTCTCCCTCCCACTCTCCCTCTCCTTCCCTCTCTCCCTCTCCCTCTCTCCCTCTCCCCTCTCCCTCTCCCTTCTCCCTCTCTCTCTCTCTCTCCCTCCCTCTCTCTTTCCCCCTCTCCTTAACATTTTGACATTGCTTTTCCTGCCTGAAAAGCAAAAGGTTGCTTTTTTGTCCATGGACTCCAAACTCTGCATGACATCTCAGCAGGTGAGCAGGATTTTATTTCGCCCTCTGCTTTTCCCACTGAGATTTTAAGGTTAGCACGTTCTGCACGGTTGAACACACAACCACCTTGAATCGTCCCAACTGGGACGTTTGAATTTATCTAAAATTCAGCTGCGGGAGGAAGAATGTCTGCTTTGGATGATCATAAAAAGAGTCTGTCTGAAACCTTTTCAGGGGTGAAGTGGAGTTGAATATGGCTGGGGCAGTTACTCGGGCTTCAAATGGATCTGGGCATGTTTTATATGCTGATGTGACATTATCTCTCTCTCTCTCTCTCTCTCTCTCTCTCTCTCTCTCTCTGTATCTGTCTATCATCTATCAATCATCTATCTGTGTCTGAGTCTGTCTGTCTATCATCTATGTATCAATCACCTATCTCTATATCTGTCTGTCTGTGTCTATCTCTATGTATCTATCTATCATCTATCTATATCTGTATCTGTCTGTATCTGTCTATTATTTATCTATCAATTATCTATCTCTATATCTCTGTCTTCTATCTATCTGTTTGTATCTATCTATCATCTATCACTCATTATTTCTATATGTCTATCTATCATCTATGTATCAATCATCTATTTCTATATCTGTGTCTGTGTCTATCTCTATGTATCTGTCTATCTATCAATCATCTATATCTCTGTCTGTCTGTCTGTCTGTCTATCTATCATCTATGCATCAATCATCTATATAGCTGTGTCTCTGTCTATCTCTATGTATCTGTCTATATCAATCATCTATATCTCTGTCTGTCTGTCTGTCTATCTATCTATCATCTATCACTCATTATTTCTATATATGTCTGTCTATCTATCATCTATGTATCAATCATCTATTTCTATAGCTGTCTGTGTCTATCTATCAGTCAATCAATCTATCTATCTCTATGTCTGTGTCTGTCTATCTATCATCTATCTATCATCTATCTCTATGTGTATCTGTCTGTCTGTCTATCTATCTGTCTATCTGTCAATCATCTATCTATGTCTGTGTCTGTCTATCATTTTATCTGTCTATTATCTATCTATCTATCTATCTATCTATCCATCCATCCATCTATCATC